GACTGGGACAGGAACGGGCACGGCTGCTGGAGAGCTGATGGCACCGGCGCTGTTCCCGGTGCCGCCCGCCAGGGGCCGCTGTGCGGCGGAGGACTGCGGAACTGACAGTCACGTGCCCTCAGCGGGGCCGCTCTGGCTGGCACCGCCCGCGTCTCTATAGCCTCGTCGCCATGGGAACGCGGCGGCCCTGGGAGTGGCGCGATGGCGGCGGGCGGTGGCGGGGGGGGGCCGGGACCGGGACCGCCCCTGGGAACTCCACCGGGCGAGGAGGCCGCCCCTGAAACCCCACCGGGCGAGGAGGAGGCGGCTGCCGCCGCGGTCCCCCCGGACCGTTCCGGTGCCCCCGTCGGCCTCGAGACGCGAAGGAAGCGCAGGCGAGTGCTGGGCCGCAGACCCCCGGCAGGGCCCGGGGAGAGCCCTTCCAGCCCCACCCCGGGGCGCCTCCCGCTGCCTCAGTTCTGCTCGGTCCCGGTGTAGCCCGGCCCCGCTGCTCCCCGCGGGCAGTGCCGTGTCGGGGCCCGCCGCCCCCAGCCCCCGGGAGCTTGTCCGGGGACCCACAATAAACAGTTCCCCTGAAACTGCCCCAACGATCTCCCATGTGACACACCCAGGCGCAGCCCCGTGCCCGGGCCCCCTGTGCCCCATCTCCTCAGGGCTGTACCCGGTCAGACCTGACTGCTGTGCTGCACCTGTGTGAGGGATCGGGCTGTGCCCCCCTCCATCCCGTGCCCACTCCCTCGCTGAGCCCCTGTCTTCTCATCTCTCTCAATTCCAGTGTCCCCTCCATCAACCTGAGCGGCTGCAGGTACGAAAGCGGTAAGTCTGAGGGGCTGCAGGGTCCCTGTGGGGTCCCTGAGGGGCCCAGCCCACCCCTGCAGGCTCTGTGGGTGCCTGTGCACCCGGGAGCACTGTTGGCATCCAGTTCTCACTGGTTTATTTACTGGTGCCCAGTGACTGGGCCCCTGTGGTAGTGGGGAGTTTGCCACACTTTGGACTGGGGTTTCCCCTGGTTTAAAATGTGTAACAGCAGCATAAGCCCTCGACATCCCCCCACACCTGTGTTTGCCAGGTGTCTGCTAAAGTGGGCGAGAAGGGTTCAGTCAGGTACAGTGCAAGGGGGTACCTGGGCTTGGGGACAGGACCTAAGGGCTCTCAGCTGTTTCAGGTAAAGCTGGTGGTGGAACAGTCAGGATCCATACCTTGAACCTCCCCCTGTGCCTTCCATCCCCAGTGACTCCAAGGAGCTGGTTCCCCTCCCCTGTCCCGCTTTTCTTTCCTGCCACAAGCTGGATCTTAAAAGAACAAACTCCTGGCCCTTGGGGGGTGTTATTAAGCCACTTCGCTAAGGTGTCTTGGTGTGCACAGACCTCCATCACCTCCCCAGCCCTGCAAGGGCCAAATTCAGACCTGGCACTAACATGAACCATCCCAACAGAGATTCTTTGCCCCAGAGCTGTCTTCTGCTGCCAAAAGACCTTTGATTTGGAGATTAAACTCACACTTTCCTAAGACTTGTACCTGCCTGTGAAGTATCAAACCCGTGGCAGGTTCAACCCTGCTGTCAAGTGGCCCTGGCACCCCAAGGCAGGTGGAATTAGAGGGCTGAGAGCACCCAGAACATCTTCAGCCAGAGGCTGGGGGTTAGGCCAGGTAAAGCTGGTGTTCCTGACACCTCCCAAAGGGTCCTGCCAATACCTTGTACTTCTGAGAGAAGTGCAGCCCGGAGAGGTTTGTTCCACGTCCTGTCCCTGGTTATTTTGGGGGTCTGTCAGTCACTGTGGCTCCCCTGCCTGCCCCTGTCACCGCTTGCCTTGGCACAGTGCGGCGGGCGGCGCAGCACTGCGGGCTGAAGGAAGCGGGAGAGAACGAGGAGTGGACGGTGTGCTGGACAGACAGCTCGGTGTCTCTGGAGCGCCTCATGGAAATGAAGCGGTTCCAGGTAAACAAATGGGCTGTCCAGCAGGAATCGCTCAGGGAGGAGGGTAACACGGGACTGTTGATGGAATAGCATGTGGCAGAGTGGAACAGAGGCATCCCAAGCAGTGTCTGTTACTCATCTGTGCCTCGGCTCCGCGCCTTTCCTTGTGCCGTGTCTGTGGTCAGCACCTCAGGAGAACTCAGCAGCTGCAGTAGGAGTGGGAGCACTGCCAGCCCTGTAACGTGCTGTGAAATAAATGGGCTGGGATGACAAATGGCTTCTGTGGTGCTCTGGGCAGGGAGAGCTCCAGGGCTGAGATGGAGCAGATAAATCACTGGTGACGCTCAGATAGAGCAGCTGTAGTGCAGTCCTGCCCCTCAGCAGCAGTTCAAGGCAGCTGCAGGCCCAGCCTCCTGCCTGCTCTGCTGCCGGTTCTCCGCAGGGCCGGGAGGATGCATCCATCCGTGCGGGGCCTCTGCTGATCTGGCTTTTTCTGCCCCTCTTTCAGAAAATCAACCACTTCCCAGGCATGATCGAGCTCTGCCGTAAGGACCTGCTGGCTCGCAACCTGAACCGCATGCTCCGGCTCTTCCCCCAGGAGTACAACATCTTCCCCCGCACGTGGTGCCTGCCAGCCGAGTGAGTGGTGTGGGACAGCGCCACGGGGACGGGCTCACACTGGGAGGGGTAACCTGCTCGCCTGCTCCCTCTGGGCACCAGAGCACAAATCTTACTGGCTCCGGCACATTATCGTGGTGACCTCTGACACGGACCTCCCGGTGCAGATGTGTACAAGGAAAAGGTGGGACTGGGAGAGCTGGGTCAGGTCACACAGGGACCAGTCTGTGACTCTTGTAGATCAGGAATGGAGGTTCTGTATCTCCCTTGTGGACATTTGATTTGTACTGGCCCACAGTGCCATGGTTTCAGTACCCAGCTGTTAGAGTTCAGAGTGTGCTTTTTGCAGCTGGTGACCTTCACCCCTTCCTTGCACAGCTATGGAGATTTCCATGCCTACAGATCCATGAGGAAAACCAGAACATTCATCTGCAAGCCCGACAACAGCTGCCAGGGAAAAGGGATCTTCATAACCCACCACCCGGAGGAGATCAAGCACGGGGAGCGCATGATCTGTCAGCAGTACATCTCTGAGGTACCAGGAGAGCCCTGGAACACCAGGGGAGGGTTCCAGCCTCCTCGTTCTGCCAGAATCCCACATCCTTCCCATGTCTCCCCAGGTCTGCTGAGGGTGGCTGTGGCACAGCGGGGGCACGGCCAAAGCTCTCCCCTCTCCTCTGCTGCCAAAGAGCAGCACAGGCAGATGGGGCAGTTCCTGATCTCACCCTTGCTCCTGACTTTCCTCACAGCCCTTCCTCATTGATGGCTTCAAGTTTGACATGCGCATCTATGTGCTGGTCACATCCTGTGACCCGCTGAGGGTTTTTCTCTACAAGGAGGGCCTGGCCCGGTTTGCCACCATGAGGTACATCGATCGCAGCAGCAGAAACCTGGTAAAAAAAGGATGTTTCAAAAAACCTCACATAGTATCTGTAGGTGTCAATCCCTAACTTGTCCTAGGGGCATTCCAGGCCTCAAAAAGGTTGGGGGCTGCAGGGATCCCAGCCTGCTGCTTTCCTGTTCTCCCTCTGTACCCCCTCCTCGTTCTCCTCACAGGAGGTGTTTCAGGAGGGTCTGAAATAGGTCTACCCCCAGATCTAGCCTCACATTTGGGCTGTTTGCTGACATTACCACAAAATCATAGAGTTGTTTTGCATTGAAGGAACATTGAAAGGTCTCCAACCTCATGTTCAAAACTGGGTCAACAATAAACTCATATCTGGTTTCTTGGGGTCTCACCCTAGCAGGTGTTGAAAACCTGCAGGCCAGAGCCCCCCTGGTGCCTCTGGCCATCACCTACTGCTCCTGGCCCTGAGGAGCGTGCTCCATTCCACACCATTCCTGCTCTGCCCATGCATCAGGTGGAAAAGAAGGACCTGGGATTGTCTGGTGGGGCTGTTTCTGTTCTCGCTGCATGATTCAGAGTGAATGAATGTCTCTCCTGGTTTCCTGCTAGGGTGACATCTGCATGCATCTGACCAATTATTCAATCAACAAGCACAATGAGAACTTCGTCCAGGATGACACAATGGGCAGCAAGAGGTACTGGCACGTCCAGGCACCACAGGAACGCTGTGGGACTCTGGTTTACCTCTTCTTTCCTGGGGTGGCACAGCTCAGCCCTTACCACCTCCTGTCCCCATGCAGGAAGCTGTCCACCCTGAACGCCTGGATGGCAGAGCACAGCTACGACACAACAAAGCTCTGGGCAGATATTGATGACATTGTCATAAAGACGCTGATTTCAGCTCACCCTGTGGTGAAGCACCACTACCAGAGCTGCTTCCCCAACCACGCTGCCGGCTGCGCCTGCTTCGAGATCCTGGGCTTTGACATTTTGCTGGACAGAAGGCTGAAGCCGTGGCTGCTGGAGGTGAGGGAGGAGCAGACAACTAAAACCTGGGAGAGGCCTCAGGACAGGGAGGTTGGGATGAACAGGACTCGTTTGATTCAAAAGGGCCACCTCACTCACAGAATTAACCAGGCTGTGAAGCCAAGCACCCTGCTGTGAGTGGGATCCAAGAGAACCAGTTCCTGCACACCCTCTTATCAGCAGGGAATTTCCCAAACCTTAGGACCCCTTTTCCTGTAAGAGCACCCTGAGTTTGTGACAGCTGCCCTCTACCTGCAGCCTGTGGGATGGGATCTGGGTGACCTGTGGCACAATAGGCACCACACTGCAGGGACAGAGTGCTGTGTGTGGCCTCCTGCTTCCTGTCACTGACATAGAGAAGAGCATCCATGGATAGTGTGGGGGGTGGCCGGGGCCACGGGCTGGGAGCTGGGGTGCCAGGTTAGGTTACTTGCTTGTCTTGGCAGGTGAACCACTCTCCCAGCTTCTACACAGACTCTCAGCTAGACCGTGAGGTGAAGGATGCCCTTCTGTGTGACACCTTCAACCTGATCAACGTGCACGCCTGTGACAGAAGGAAGGTGCTGGAGGAAGACAAGCGGCGGGTAAAGGAGCGGCTCCTTCAGGCCAACCAGACCCAGACTCTCCGTGAGTCCAGGTATTGCTGTTTCCCTCAGTGCTACACGTCTTCAGTGAGGAGAGACAGGGCATGGCAGAGCAGGATAATGCCAGGGCTGGCAGGTGAAGCTCCCAGACCCCATGGCACTGTGCAGCCTCTGAGCTCTCCCAAGCCATCTGCATCCTGGAAGGAAGAGCTAAGGGCTCCTCTTTGGGTACCAAGAGATTTGTGACACCTCGTGCTCTGTGCCCCGACAGAGACATCCCCATTGAGCGGCACCTGCTTGTCACATCCCTCGGTGCAGACAGGCAGGGCCAGTGTCCCTGGGCTGGCAGGGATGCTCACAGGAGGGACCACAGCCCTGCCTCAGGGACCAGGAGCAGCTAAGGGCATGGACCCTTCTCCAGAGCAGGATTCCTTTCCAGGGTTGAGGGTTTCCCCCTCCTCTGTCTGCATGCCCTTTCACAAGGCCAGTGTTTAGTGAGCCTGCTGCCTTGCAGGCAAAGCGGGGACTCTCTCCAGCTGCTGTTTCCATATGGAGTCCTGGGATAACCCTGGGAAACACCAAGCATGTCAGCCCTGTGCTCTGCCTGCCCCGGAGCTCCCTGTCACAGCTCCCTGTGCTCCCTCTGGCTGCAGGCGCAGGGAGCAGGAGAGCAGCCAGGCTGCCTGGCTGGCACAGGCCGAGACCTATGAGAACGAGCACCTGGGCGGCTTCCGGCGCATCTACCCAGCACCTGGCACAGAGAAATACGAGCCCTTCTTCCACCAGGGCAGGTCCCTCTTCCAGGAAACGGCAGCCTCCAAGGCACGAGAGGAGCATGCCAGGTACACTGCTCCTGTGGAAACCCTCTCCTCATGGGGGGGATGGACACCACTCGCTCCTGAGCCCTCCTGGGGAGCCACTCTGCTGCTTGGCAGGTGTAAGCAAGTGGGGAGAGCAGGAGGGGAAGGGAAGGAGCCTGCACGTGCTGTGGCACCACAGCAAAGCAGTTCCTTTTGGATGGACCCCAGAGAGGCAAGGGCAGTGCTTCATTGACTTTTGGACCCTGGAGAAACCATGTCCCAAATGTCCCACTCCCTTCTGTTAGGCACAGCCTAATCTAAGCCCATTTCTCTTTTTAAAAGTCTCTTTACAAGCATCTCTGGCCCATCTCTTGGCACACTTCTACTATGGGCTGTTTAGACAGAACTTTGGCCTGCAGTAAATTTCTTCAGGTCAAAGGCTGCCCTACAGCCTTTCGTTGTTGTGGCTCTGATTGAGCAGTGAGTGACTCTGCTGTTCTGTGGCAGGCAGCAGCTGGAGGAGATTCGCCTGAAAAATGAAAAGCTGGAAGCTGCCACCAGGAAGAAGAAAACAGAGAGGATCCAGAATAGAAGCACAGCTTCTACAACCCACCTCGCTCACAGAAGCACCAAGACATGGGATAGAAAGGTATCTCAGTGTCAGCATTGTCCATGGGCTCTCCAAGGCAGTGACATGGCTCTGGGAGCCATGCTGGGCCATGGATGCTCCCATGGAGCAGAAATTCCAGGTTTGACTCACTGTATGAAGTCCAGAAAATCGACAGCTTGTGGTGGGCAGTACTTGCAAGCACCAGTGTTGTCCCTTCCTGTTGTGGCTCCCACTAGGATCTCCATCCCACCCCAAGTCTGTGACTCTCCCCAGGGTTGGAGCAGCCCATGGCTTTGTCTCACCTGTGCATTATCCCAGGTTCAGCTTTGCTGTAGCTCAGGTGTTTCTCTGCCGAGGTGCAGCACGTGCAGTATGACTCCATGCAGCCCCAGGACATTGTGGAACACGAGGAGAAGAGGAGAGTGAATGCTCTGCTGCAGCGTGAGAAGCTGATCCGAGACCTGGGCATCACCAACCAGCTCTCTCGGCTGCTGCCCACAGCTGACAGCCAGGGATCCTGCACCCTCCGGAGTCAGGTAACAGGGTCACCCAGATCCACTCACAGCCAAGGCAGGAGGATGGTGAGGAGTGAATAGGGCACTGAGTGTCTGGGGCAGGATGGGGGTCCTGGCTCCACTGCCGGCAGATCAGCTGCTGTGCTCCTGGGGTGGTGTGAGTCTGGGATGGTTGTGGGGGTGTACCCGGGGACAACGTGCAGGAGGATGCTTTAGTGAACACCCGTACACGACAGAAAAGACTTTTTCTTCCCATCTCCTGCCAAGGCCTCCAGACCTAAGCCATGGCCACTTGCCTTCCCTCTTTCCAGCTGCAGTTTCCATGGGATGCCCTCGGGGACCAGGACACCCATGACTTAATGATGGTCATCTCAGTCCTGGGAGGCCCAGCCCATGCCTCAGGACACTGGGTCAGAGCTGAGGCCTTGCAGCCAGACACGCTGGGCCCGGACCCCAAGGACATGGACACCCTCTGTGTTCGAGGCCGGAGTGTCCCGTACCACACGCGGCACGAGGGCTCCCGGGTGCTGGGCGGGGGCTGGCTGCGGGGCCGGGCAGCACGGGCAGCCGTCACCCACCCCGAGGGGCTGCTGCTGAGAGACCAGCAGCTCCCTGCTGCCAGATCACAGGCTGAAGGCTGTGAGTACACATCACCTTCCCATGGATATCCTGGCCTTACCAGGGTGGGAGGAGTGGGCGGGTGGATGGAGCTCAGAGTGCCAGGGGTGCTGGGACCCTGCGGAGGGGCTGCTGTGCTCTGCTCAGGGCACTGATGACTGCTGGAAGTCTCTGCTGGAGGCCATCAACATCCCATTCACAGGGGCAGGGATGAATGCGTGTGGATTCCCAGAACCAGGGGTTGATGTGTGGGGAGGAGAGAGAGTGAGAAGCCCCGATGTATGGGGGAGAGTGAGTTGGAAGCACAGCAGATGGGACAGTCGAAGGGGTGCGTTAGCTGCAGTGGGTACGGAGGGGACACGGTGCCATAGCACGGCCCCCAACCCTTTCCCAGGCCCATGCTGCTCCCTGCCCACAGTCCCACCACCCCTCACCCAGCCCTGCTCTGTTCCCCAGCATCAGCTCCATCCACTTGGCAGCCATAAGGCCGGGGCAGCAGGGCCAGAGGGGGAGCTGCCAGGCCCAAGCCCCACCGGGGAGGGCAGTGGGGACTGCTGACCCACAGAGCTGCCTGGTCTGCAGACAGACCCACATCTGTCTGTGCTGTTCCAGGTGACGCTGCCAGCCCGTCGTCCTCCCATGCAGGCAGCTGTCCCCCAGCATCCCCAGCCAGCCCGGGGGAGGTCAAAGACGATGGCATCTTCAGCTGTGCTGTGGTCCAGGAGCTCCCCATCGCTGCCGCCGCCGCTCATGTGCAGCACACACGTGCCTCACACCATGGCAGAGCCTCACTGTGCCAGTGTGTCTCACACTTCCAGCATGAAAGGCACAAGTAACGTGGCCGAAGGCTCAGCCTTCCTCTTGTGGGTGCTCGCTGGAGAACCAGGGCTGCTGGATAGGTTGGCTATCCCCATCAGCCCCGGGGCCGGCTGCGGAGCCCCCTGACCGGAGCCTGGGCCCCGCCCGGGTCTGGCCACGCACCCCGTGCAGCTTCCCCTCTGCCGGGCCAGGGGTGATGCCTGTGCCCCTGCCCGCACTCCTGGCTGTGCCCCCGCGGCTGCAGCCGGGCCCGTCACAGGCCATCCCGCTGTGGATCCCGCCGGGGCCGCCCCCCGCCGGCCCCGCCCGTTCCCGTTGCCGGTCATGGCGGCGCTGCTGCGGCCCGGGCTGCGGGCGGCCGCGCTCCTCGCCAGGACCCCGCGGCGGGCGGCGGCGGCGTGGCCCGGGGACCCGGAGCCGCCGGACCCGGCGCTGGAGGAGGCGGAGAGGTGCGGGGCGGCTGGGCTGGGCCGGGGCCGGGCCGGGCCGGGCGCTAACGTGTGTCCCCCGCAGGGGGCGGCGGCGGCGGGTGGCGGCGCGGATGGAGCGGCTGCGGCGGGAGCTGGGCGGGGGGCGCGGAGCCCCCGAGCGCGTCCTGACCTGGCAGGCGATGGAGCAGATGCGGTGAGCGCGGGGATGGGAGGTTCGCGCCGCTCCCGGTGACCGCCCCGGTGACCGTGCCCGTGCCCGCAGGTTCCTGCGGCAGGAGCTGCCCGAAGAGTGGCCGCTGGAGCGCCTGGCCCAGGGGTTCGGCGTCAGCACCGACGTGGTGCGGCGGGTGCTGCGGAGCCGTGGCTGCCCTTCGCCGCGCCGCCGCCTGCGGCAGGACCGGCGGGCGCTGAGCGCCGCCGCGGCGGCACCGGGACACGAGCGCGAGGTGCGCGCCCCCGACGGGACGCTGCTGTACCGACTGCCGCGGGGCTGGGGCGGGCCGGGGCCCGGCGCGCAATAAACGGTGTTGGGACCCGCCTCCGATCGCGCCGCTTCCGCCGCGCCGGGCACGGGCTGCGGGGTGGCGGGGACGGGATTCGAGCTGCCGGGGATGGGCTCGGACGTGGCGCGGCTGCTGGAGGCCGTGGACTTCGCGGCCAGGAAGCACAAGGAGCAGCGGCGAAAGGACCCCGAAGGCACCCCCTTCATCAACCACCCCATTGGTGCGGAACCCCCCGGCACCGCGGCCTGCTCCCGAGGGATCCTCAGGACCCCTCCTGCCCCTGAGTGCCGCCCGCCCACGGGAGCCCCTCACCCCAGCCCCCGGGGAAAGCCGTGTCCCCTCTCCCATCCCACGTCCCTGAGCCCCTGCCCTAGCCACGTGTTCTGCTGTGGGTGCTCCCCCCACGCTGTTGCCCTGCAGTGGACGGTGCCCATGGGAGCTGATGAGGGACCCTTGGGGGCAGTGCCAGCCTGCGGGAGTTGCCTGCTTGCCCAGCCTAAGGATTCACCCCTCAGGACGTGCCCAGGGTGGATCTTGGGGACCCCTCCTTGCCCTCTGTGCAGTGCAGCCCCTGTGTAACCCAGGGAGCAGCTGTCCTGGCCCAGAGCTGCCCTTTCTCCCCCCGTGCCCGTTCCCAGCTCTCTGCTCTGGCCGCAGGCGTCGCCAGGATCCTGGCGCACGAGGCTGGTGTGACAGACATCGTGGTGCTGCAGGTAAGGCCATGCCCTCCCCTGCCTGCTACTGCTGTGGCAGGGCCTGGCCTGGACCCCCTGGCCCCCTTGACCCTCCCTGGCCCCAGGCCGCCCTCCTGCATGACACGGTGGAGGACACGGACACCACGCTGTCTGAGATCGAGGAGCAGTTCGGGGTGGATGTGCGGCGCGTGGTGGAGGAGGTGACGGACGACAAGATGCTGCCCAAGATGGAGCGCAAGCGGCTGCAAGTGGAGCGGGCGCCCGGCTGCAGCCCCCGTGCCAAGCTGGTCCAGCTGGCAGACAAGCTGTACAACCTGCGGGACCTGAACCGCTGCACCCCCCAAGGTACCGTGGCAGGGCCTGGCTGTGCCCAGGGCGGCTGCTCTGCCTGGGGCAGGGCTGGTACTGCGCCCTGCACGGAGGGACAGACCTGCCGAGGTCACCCCAGACCTGGGGTGGCTCCAGCCAGGGGCAGTGTGGGGGATGTCTGTCCTGTTGTGTGCCGGTGTCCCGGTGTGGGTGTGTGTGTAGTGATGTCTCAGTCTGTCCCAGTGTGGGTGTGTGTGGTGGTCATAGAATGACAGAATCAGCCGGGTTGGAAAGGACCTCTGAGATCAAGTCCAACCCTTGATCCAGTACTGCTGTGGTTACTAGACCATGGCACTAAGTGCTACATCCAGTCTCATCCTAAAAACCTCCAGGGATGGAGAATCCACTACTTCCCTGGGCAGCCCATTCCAATGCCTGATTACCCCCTCTGTAAAGAGTTTCTTCCTAATATCCAACCTAAACCTCCCCTGGTAGAGCTTAAGACCGAGCCCTCTTGTCTTACTGAGAGTTGCCTGGGAGAAGAGACCAACCCCCACCTGGCTACACCCTCCTTTCAGGGAGTTGTAAAGAATGATGAGGTCTCCCCCGAGCCTTCTCTTCTCCAGGCTGAACAGCCCCAGCTCCCTCAGCCTCTCCTCACAGCACCTGTGCTCCAGTCCCTTCCCCAGGCTTGTTGCTCTTCTCTGGACCTGCTCCAGCCCCTCCATGTCCTTCCTGAACTGAAGGGCCCAGAGCTGGACACAGCACTCAAGGTGTGGCCTCACCAGCGCTGAGTACAGTGGAAGAATCACTTCCCTGGACCTGTTTGCCACACTGTCCCTGATACAGGCCAGGATCCGTTGGCCTTGACCACCTGGGCACACTCTGGCTCAATGTCTTGGCCTGTCCTAGTGTGTGTGTGGTGATGTCTCAGTATATTCCTGTGTGTGTGTGCGGTGATGTCTCGGTTTGTCCCGATGTGTCTGTGGGGTGCTGATGTCTGGGTCTGTCCCGGGACCGAGGTCAGGGCCGGGGCGGCTCCAGCCGGAACTGACGTGATGTTTCCGCAGGGTGGTCGGCGGAGCGCGTGCAGGAGTACTTCCGGTGGGCGGCGCTCGTGGTGTCCGGGCTGCGCGGGACCAGCGCGCCCCTGGAGGGGGCGCTGCAGCGCCTGTTCGAGGAGCGCGGCGTGGCCACGTGACTTTGAGGCGGCCAATAAACGTGCGTGCAGCTCAGCGTCCTGCGTTGCTATGGTGCCGCTCGCTTCCGCCGTTGCGGGGTTCCGGCCGCGCCGCGGCCGCGCTCGGGCGTTCCGGGCGCCGCGCCGGCCCCCACCATGGCCTTCGCCGGGCGCCGCGACGCGCCCGAGCCGCCCGACTTCGGGATCCTGAAGCGGCTGGCGCGGGACCAGCTCGTCTACCTGCTGGAGCAGGTCCGGGGCCGCGGGACAGGGGTGCCGCGGCGGGGCGGCGGGGCCGGGGTGGGCTCGGGCGGGTTCAGGCCCCGGGGCGGGCGGTGGGTCCCAGCCCACGCGCGCCCTGCCCGCAGCTCCCCGGCAAGAAGGACCTTTTCATCGAGGCCGACCTGATGAGCCCCTTGGACCGCATCGCCAACGTGTCCATCCTGAAGGTACCGCAGGGCCCGGCGGGCGGCCCACACCCCCCCCGGCCGCGCTGAGCCCGCCGTGTCCCCGCAGCAGCACGACGTGGACAAGCTGTACAAGGTGGAGACCCGCCCGGCCCCCGGCGCCAGCGACCAGTGAGTGCCCGGCCCGGCCCCGGCGGCAGCTGCACAGCCCGGGCACGGCTGTGGACAGGAAGGGCCCAGCGCAGGCAGGGCCAGGTACGAGGAGCCCTCGCTCCCCTCTGTAATGCAGGTTCTGCTTCCTGGTGCGGCCGCGGGTCAGGACGATGAGGTTCATCGCTGGTGAGTGCGGCACCGGGGGCAGGTGGCCCTCGCCGGGTTCCGGTGCTCTGGGCCACCACTGGGAGCGGGCCTGAGAGGGGCTCCAGACGAGCCCCGTGCCCGAGGCCTCACTTGTGCCCGGGGCGTTGGGGCCCCGTAAGCTGTGGGGCCCCGGGCCGAGGGGGGGCAGCTGTGCAGGGGCTGTACGGGGTGTCCACAGATATTGTCAATGCTGACAAGATGTCGGGGAGAAGCAGGAAGTACAAGATCATCTTCAGCCCCCAGAAGGTCAGTGTGACCCTGCTGCCCATTCCCACATCACACTGTGCCTGCCCAGCCTTTGCACCTCCCACCCCATCTGTCGGCACCAAAAGTTGTGTGTCGCTAACCCAGGAATGTTTAACTAAAATCGAGTGTTATGATGCCTGGCAAGGAGCTGGGCTGCTCCAGAGCTTCTCCCACTCAGAGCCTGCCTGGTCCTGAGGGTCTCCCCTTCTCTTCCAGTTCTATGCTTGTGAGATGGTGCTGGAGGAAGAGGGAGTCTTTGGTGGTGAGTGGAGCTGTGATGCTGGCTCAGGGTAGCTCTGACACCGCAGGGTTCCATTTGAATCCCAGTATGGGGATCCCTGTGTGGGCAGGGAACACAAGTTGCTTCGAGGGTGGCTACCAGTCTGTGGGCAGGCATGTGCCCACCACAGCACCAGCCCCTCTCCTCTGCCTGCAGGGAAGAGAGAGGGCCCTGCCACCCATCCTGTCTCTCTTGACACCCTGTTTTGGGGTTGTCACAATCCCTGGGACTGTTCATGCACAGGGATGGGTAACGGTCCCCTCTCCCTGCCCCAAACCCAGATGTCACCTGTGACGAATGGTCGTTCTACCTGCTGCCCCTGGACGAAGATATCATCAGCATGGAGCTGCCTGAGTTCTTCCGCGACTATTTCCTGGTCAGTGGGACGTGGTGGGTGGCAGCCTATCCTGTCCCCTGTGTCTTGGGACAAGGGCAGCATTTGGAGAGCAGGTGTGATGTCCTGCTTGGCCCCTCAGCCACACCATGGGTCCTGTCTGCTCCCCAGGGGTGGCTTTTGGGGGTAGTGGCTGCTCCCACCCTGTGCTGGCCCCTCTGCTCCCTCTGGAGCAGCTTTGGGGCATCCCAGCATGTTCCTGTGTGTATCCCTATGCACGTACCTTCTGGAAGCACCCAGCCCAGGGCCCGTTCTGTCCCCAGCCCAGTCCCCTGGCAGTCATTCCCAGCCAGCTGCCCGCACACACTCCCTGGTTCCACAGGAGGGGGATCACCGCTGGATCAACCCCGTTGCCAGAGCCCTGCAGTTGCTGAACTCCCTGTACGGCCCTTTTGGGAAGGCCTATGGCATCGGCCGCTGTGCCAAGGTACGGCCGGCACCGGGAGTCCCTCAGGTCCCCTTCAGCTGGGTGGCACCACGTCACCACAGAGCTGGCACACCTCCGGACGGCACTGGGGGCTTGGCAGGCTTTTGGGGGTCCCATGTGCCAAGGGTGGGCAGGAGAGCAGCGGCTCCTGCTCACTGGGGTGTGCCCTGGAGGGGGGAACGCTTGTGCCTGTCCTCCATCACGAGCCTCAGTGTCCCCCGTGGGACACCCTGGCCGTGCCTTGGCTGCACCTCCACCCTGGCACATTCTGCCCCTGACAGATGAGCCACGAGCTGTGGCGGGACCTGGAGGAGGAGAGCGAGGGTGAAGGCCAGGGCAGGAAGCCCGAGATTGGACATGTCTTCCTCATGGACAGAGGTGGGCTGGGGTGGGAGCAGCTGGCGAGGGTGGCCAGGGGGGAGCAGTTTGGGCAACGGTGGAGGGGCAGGGAAAGCCCCTGGGAGGGCAGCCTGGCACTGGCTCTCCTTGCAGATGTGGACTACGTGACAGCTCTCTGCTCCCAGGTGGTCTATGAGGGGCTGGTGGACGACACCTTCCGTATCAAGTGTGGTGGGTGCCCGGGGACGGCGATGGGGCAGCCGGGGGCTCTGCACTCAGGACAGGGGTGGCATGGGGCTCTGCACCCCCCTGCCCAGACCACAGGGTTTGTGCCCGGCACTGTCGTGCACAGGGCCGTTCCCACAGGGACAGTCCTGATGTGAGGTGCTGCTGGAGGTCGTCCACAAGGACAGCCCTCGCTCTGACCAAGCAGCTGGGCCACATCCCCTGCCTCTGCTGCAGCAGGGCTGGTGCGTGTGGGGATGCCACTATGGCTGGGACAAAGCAGCTCTTTTCCCTGCAGGCAGTGTGGATTTTGGGCCAGATGTCACTTCTTCTGACAAGAGTATTAAGGTGCTGCTCAATGCCCAGGACAAAGTGAGTCCTCCCAAGCCTCAGGGGAAACTGGTCTTCATGGTGGGAGGAGGCAGAGCAGGGCATTCCCTCCCCTAAGCCTGAGCAGGAGTGGCCAGGGGCTGCTGGGCCCCTGAGTACAGATTGGGATGAGTTGGGGCACAGAGACCAGGGAAACATGGTCTGCAGGTGTAGCTCCACTTCTGAACTTGGCAGAGTCCCCACACACAGGGGTTGTTTCATGAATGAGTGTTTTAAAGTTGCTTAAGGAATCACCATCAAAGGTATTGGAAAAAAACATGTTTAATATAAAAGCGACAGCTTGACAAAGTTCGGTGGCAAAACAATCACTCTAATTCAAAATCAACCCAAAAATATATATATGGAGGCTGAGATGGCAATAGGGGCAGAGGAAAGGATAGGAAAGAGTAAGGAAAAAAAGGAATTTGGACTATGAAATGGAATATGAAAAAGGAATATTGTGGCTCAACTGCTGTGACTCAACTGCTGTTGAGTCACAAGGTTCATAGTAACTTTTCATCCTGGCCACAATTCAGGTCAGTAACTTTCTATGAAAGTTTGATAATAAAAATATTATTCCACTGGGGTTTAATAAAGCAAGAAAAATAAGTTTCCAAGGCTGTTTGTTAAAAAAACGGAGCTTGTTAGACAGCACTAATTCTTGGGAACAGACAGTGTTTCTGAAAAGCTTGAGAAGAGCTCAACCCAAGTGCTGTTCATAAAGGCTGATCCCTAAGGAGCATTTCTCAGACGATAGTGCAGGGGGATGCATCACCATAGGCTGCCGTGCCTCTGGCCAGGGTTTTGGGGCTGGCTGCTGGTGGGCGCTGGCCCCGGGGGTGCAGCTGGCTGGGCCCGACAGCTGCGGTGCTTCTGCAGGTGTTCAGTCAGATCCGGAATGAGCACTTCTCCAGCGTGTTCGGCTTCCTGAGCCAGAAGTCGCGGAACCTGCAGGCACAGTACGACGTGAGTGTCACCCGGCGTGCGGGACACCCGCGGCACTGTCCCTGTGTGCGGCCAGGCCACCTCCCTGACGCTCTCTCTCCCTTCTGCAGCGGCGCCGGGGCATGGACATCAAGCAGATGAAGGACTTTGTGTCCCAGGAGCTGAAGGGACTGAAGCAGGAGCATCGCCTGCTGAGCCTGCGTAGGAACCAGAGGGGAGGGAGGGGTCCTTGGCTGCACTGCAGGTGCCTGAGTTCTGGGGGAAGGGGGGAGCTCGGGGGGCCTACATGTCCCCAGGAGGGGCAGGTGACCCAAGCCGTGGGCAGGGCAGCAGGGGCTGTTGGTGTGTGCCAGTGCCTGAGGTGACAAGCTCCCTGCAGAGCCCATTCCCCTGCAAAGCTGCCATCTCTTGGTTCCACAGATATCGGTGCCTGTGAGTCCATCATGAAGAAGAAAACCAAGCAGGACTTCCAGGAGACCATCAAGGCTGAGCACTGTGAGTACTGTTCCCTGCCCCCGTCTGCACCTACCCCTATCCCAGTCTGTCCCACAGCTCCACTCACCCCAGGCCCAGGCAGCCTCACACCTGGGTGTCCCCAGCATGTCCTCCCAGTCCCTCTGTGTAGGGGTGTGTCTTGAGATCCTAAATAGGGTCGGGTCAGGTACCCTCTGTGTGGGGGGTGGCGTGGGGGCTCTGTTCCCCAGGGCTCTGGGAGAGCGGCTAAGCCCTGACCCCAAGTCCAGGGTGACAGTGCCTGTGCTCTCACCACAGCACTGCTGGAGGGCTTCGACGTCCGTGAGAGCACCAGCTTCATTGAGGAGCACATCGACCGGCAGGTGAGGCCGTGGGACCGGCTGCTCCGGCCGCCCTATCCTGCCCCTGCTCACCACTTGCTCCCCACAGGTGTCCCCCATCGAGAGCCTGCGCCTCATGTGCCTCCTGTCCATCACAGAGAACGGTGAGTGCCCGGTGGGCAGGGCTGGAGCAGTGGCACTGGGCCCCAGCCCTGGCACAGAGCTCACCTGGTGCTCCCCACAGGTCTCGTCCCCAAAGACTATCGCTCCCTGAAAACCCAGTACCTGCAGGTGAGGAGCTCAGAGAGTCACAACAGAGCAAGGGCTGTGTGAGACAGGGGTTCCCCTCCCTATGGCTCTGGCTCAAGACACAGGGCAGCAGTGCTCCCCAGGGATGGACCCTGCCTCTGTGGGCCCTGTCTCTGAAGGATAACTCCTGCCTCCACAGCCTCTGCCTGAGCCAGGAGCTCTGCCTGTGCCTGCCAGGGGCCTCTGAGCAGCCCGTGCCCCCCTACAGAAGGGACACCCTTCCCATGCTGATCTGGCTGCTCTGTTCCCAGAGCTATGGGCCCGAGCACTTGCTGACCTTCCACAACTTGAAGCGCATCGGGCTGCTGACGGAGCAGGCGGCTGGGGAGACCCTGACAGCGGTGGAGAGCAAAGTCAGCAAGCTGGTCACAGACCGTGCTGCAGGTGAGCCAGCCCGCTGCCCTCATGTCCTTGGGAGCCTGGCAACAGAACCTGCTGCCTTAGAGCTGGCTGGAAGCACGTGGCAAACGCGGAGGCTCCAGGCACTGTGTGTCCTCAGCAGTGGTGCTGCAGGCAGGGCACTGGGCTATCCACAGGGGCAGTGGGGCTGGCAGCCACCATGGCCATCCTCCAGAGCCCACAGCTCTGCACATCCCGCTGCCAGCCTGGGGCTGGGACCCAGGCAGGGTCTCTGAAATATTTCTCCATGCCATGTTTTCCAGGAAAGATCACAGATGCATTCAATTCTTTGGCCAGGAAGAGCAATTTCCGAGCCATAAGCAAGAAGCTGGGGTTGGTATGTCCTCGGGGGCTGCTTGCTGCCCACAGAGCAGAGCCCATGCCCAGGCTGCAGGCTTGACATCTCCAAGACACACTGCTCAGGACTGGAGCTGTAGCTGCTGCAGTCACTCTGGGCAGCCTGCGGGCTTCTCCCTGGGACCGGGGGGCAGTGCCAGCTTCCCACTCTGCCTTTGACCAGTGTGGTGGAGGGCTGGGGCTTGCCTTGCCCCCTTCAAACAGAGCTGTCCTGGGGTCAGCCCCGTGGCCTCTGTCCTGGGCCAATGGAGAGGTGCTGGGGTGCTGGTGCAGTGACATTTCTGTCCGTGGCCCCCCGATGCACCGCCCGCCCAGGCTGTGCAATGCTGGTCCTGGGGCAGCGGGGCAGGAGGGGGGGCAGAGTGTCTGTCCCTCCTCACCCCCTGCGCCTCTGAAGGGGGGTGAGCCCCAGGCAGGCTGGTCCCATACCCCTGGTGTTGCCTATCCCTGCAGATCCCCCGGGTGGAGGGCGAGTACGACCTCAAAATGCCCCGGGACATGGCGTATGTTTTCGGCGGGGCCTACGTGCCCCTGAGCTGCAAGATCATCGAGCAGGTGAGCTCACCTGCCGTGGGGGAGAACTGGGCACATCCCCTTGAGCCCCTACCTCCCTCGGGGGGGTCCACTGGGGGTCCCTCTGCCCAGGGCTGAGGCTGATAATGCTCATCTGCTGCTCGGAGCCTCCTGAGCCATGCCCAGCCTCTGTGGCCAGCCTGACCCGCCCATCCCTCAGGTGCTGGAGCGCCGGGGCTGGCAGGGCCTGGAGGAGGTCGTGCGGCTGCTCAATGGCAACGAGTTCTCGGTCTCAGGTAGCGGCTGGGCCAGGCTGGGGATGGGGGGGCTGGGGGCTGGCAGGGGTCCCACCATGCTCTGTGCCATCCAGACAGCACCGTGGAGGACAACCCCACCTGGGAGTCCCAGCGTGTCATCCTCACTGTCTTCCTGGGGGGCTGCACGTTCTCCGAAATCGCTGCCCTCCGCTTCCTGGGGAAAGAGAGAGGTAGGAGCTGCCTGCGAGGGGCAAGGAGCAGGCACCAACCTGGGGGTCCTGCCACTGCAGCGTGCGGCCAAGCAGGGGCCACACTCAGGGCTAACACTGGCTGAAGTCCATGGGGAAGGGGGTGGTGAGGTACGAGGCTCTTCCAGGAAAGGGCCAGGGACAGAGCTGGGAGCGCTGGGGCTGCCCCTGGGCACAGCTGGGGCACTGACAGGTCACATCTCATAGGGTGCAAGTTCATCTTCCTGACCACGGCCATCACCAACAGCGCCCGGATGATGGAGGCCATGATCGAGGCCAGGGCCTGAGCCCTGGGGGGGCCCTGCAGCCCCTGCACCCCCTGCCAATAAACGGCTCTGTTGACAGCGACCGGCCCGGGGTGTGTGCGGGGGGGGGCCCGGGGTGTGGGGGGGGGGGGGCGCGGGGTGTGGGGGGGGGGGGGGTCCCGGTCCGGTGGCCCCCTGGCGCATGCGCAGTGCGGCGCAGGCACCGCCCGGGTGTGGCGCGCGGGCTCCCGCGCGCGGGCTCGTGGCCGCTGCGGCATCGCGAGCGCGCGGCGGCGCCGTTGCACGCGGCCGGACGGCGGCGGCCTCGCCCGTGATTCGGTGGAAGCGCCGAAGGTTCTTCGCTGCCATTGGCTGACGGGCGGCTTGGGGCGGGGCAGGGCGCGGTCCGGTTGGCGGTTGTGGGCGGGGCCGCGGTGACGCGACAGCCAATCAGCGCGGCCGGGAGGGGAGTTCGAATCGGCGGAGCGGCGGCGTCCGGCGGGAGCGATGAGGAAAAGGTGCGGGAATGGGGGGATACCGGGAATGGGGGGATACCGGGAACGGGGGAGACAGGGAACAGGGGGATACCGGGAACGCGGGGACAGGAAAGGGGATACCGGGACCCCGGGGACAGGGAACGGTGATACCGGGACCCGTGGCTGGGGGGGTGCGGCGCGATGGGAGCCGGCGGCTGCGGGAGCGCTCGGCCGGGAGCCCGCCCGCCCTTGTCCGTGACGCCCGCGGTGCCCCCAGCGAGGTCCTGGCGGCCGAGGCCGCGTCCTGCCTGAACCGGGCCATGGCGGCCCTGCGGGACATCTGGGAGGAGATCGGCATTCCCGAGGAGCAGCGCCTGGAGCGCACCGACGTCGTCAAGCAGCACATCAAGGTGAAGGGCGGGGGCGCGTCCCCGGGTTGGGGACTCACCGGACTCGCTGTCGAGCCCCCAGCCCGGGACCCGGGCAGCTTGGCATGAGCTCTCTCAGGGCCCCAGGACTGGACCGATGGGGGTCCCTGCCCGGGTGGGAGCATCCAGGGCTGTCACTGCACCTCTGCCCTGGCCCTGTCCCACTGGGGCCCCCACACTGCCCACCCTCACTCAGCCCCAGCAGAGGTCTCCAGTGGTGATCTTGCTGCTCTGCCTGCCCTCCCTGCGTGCTCTCCATCCTCACCCCCTGCCTGTGCCACAGAGTCTCCTGGACATGATGGTGGCAGAGGAGCAGAGCCTGAAGGAGCGTCTCCTGAAGAGCATCGCCGTGTGCCGGAAGGAGCTGGACACCTTGTGCAGTGAGCTCCAGCTGGGCCCCTTTGAGGTGAGGTGTTGCTCTTCACTGCTGGGATCCTGCTGCTGCCCTGCCTAGGTGTATCAAGAGGCCAGAGCTCAAAAAGCAAACGCCTGTTCAAAACTGGGTGCTTGGTAGAGCTGAGGGCTTTGTGGCTCCTTACAGGCCAGGCATTGAGAAGCAGTTGTGAGGCTTTCTCCATCACCTCATTTTGTGTATTGCTGCTCTGTTTGCAGCTTCCTGGGGAACATCTTGCCCAGACCCAGGGCTTGTGTCCCTGGACTTCATTTAAAATCTTAAAACATGAGCTAGGTGTGGGAGAGGTGTAGAGCAGAGCTGATTTCTGGCCTCTTGCAGACAGAGGAGGAAAGTACCATCCTGCAGATGGAGAAGAATCTGCGCATGCGTGTGGAGGAGCTGCAGAGGCAGAAGCAGGATCGGAAGCAGGAGCTGAAGGCCCTGCAGGAACAGGACCGGGACCTGTGTGATATCCTATGCACAGCCCTGTTCAGCATTGACAGCAGTGCCGTGCCCAGCCTGGAGGACCTGGACTGCTACCGGCGCCACGTGGCCTCCCTCAACACCCTGAAGGTGAGCGGAGAGACTGAGGGGGTTGGTGAAGGACCCACGAGGGGCCCACTGGTTCCTGACACTGCCCCTCACCCCCAGGAGCAAAGGCGGGAAGAGTTTGTCAGCAACAAGCGTCAGATCATCCTGCTCATGGAGGAGCTGGACCACACCCCGGACACCAGCTTTGAGCGGGACGTGGTGTGCGAGAACGAGGAGGAGTTCTGCCTGTCCAAGGACAACATCGTGGCCCTCCAGAACCTGCTGCAGCAGGTACGCCGTGCACTGAGGCAGCATTTGGGGCTGCTGTGGGTCCTGACAGCAGCTGCCATCACAATGCAAGAGTGACCGCTGGCTTTTGGGCAAGGCTGTATGTCAGAACATCCTTTTGGGGGGTGATCTTGGGTGCCGAGTGCATGGCTTTGCGGGTGTAGCAGAGCCAAGGGCTGCACTGACCCCCTGCTCCCCCTGCCTGCAGCTGGAAGCTCGGCGGGCTCTGAACGAGGCCGTGTGTGCGGAGCTGCGCTCCAGGATTGTTGCGCTCTGGGAAAGGCTGCAGATCCCACAGGAGGAGAGAGAGACCTCGGCCGTGCACATGGATGGGTCCAGAGCCAAAACCAGGAGAGCTGTAAGGACCCTGCTATGCCCAAGGCAGGAGGGCTGGGGGTAGTAGCTCCTGGGGCTCTCATGCTCCTGTTTGCTCAGTCAGTGGTGAGGGGAGTGGGCCAAATCCTGCCCTCGTGGGGGGAGGAGCTAGGGGTTGGTGCTGCCTCATCCTAGAAAGTGGGTTGTGCAGAAGATGAATCCTGTTCTGCCCCTCCTCTTTCTCCCTGACCTGTGCTCTGATCCTGGGAGCAGTTGCAGTTGGAAGTGGACCACCTGGAGGAGCTGAAGCTGCAGAACATGAAATCCGTGATCCAGGCAATCCGGGCAGAGCTGGCTGACTACTGGGACAAATGTTTCTACAGCCAGGAGCAGAGGGAAGGCTTCAGCCCCTTCTATGATGGTGGGTGCCAGCTGGCCAGGCAGATGTGAGAAGGGGTCCAGGGGTCCCAGCTGCCCCCTGATGAGGCTGTTGTGCCCTTCCAGAGGATTACACAGAGACCCTACTCGAGCTGCATGATCATGAGGTGGGCAAGATAAAGAGCTACTATGAAACACACAAAGATCTGTTTGAGGCGGTTCAGAAATGGGAGGAAAACTGGAAGCTGTTCCTGGAGCTGGAGGTATCATCTGGGCAGGAGCACACTGGGTCATGGGGCAGCACACACCTCTGCTCCCAGGGGCTGAGTGCTCTGGGAAGGAGCAGGGAGGCACTGGGGAGGCACAGTGGGCCAGTGCAGGGATGAGGTGCTGTCTTGAGCACTGGGATGTTTGTGCAAGGGTGGCTCTCCGGGGGGTGGGGGGAGCTGGGTGGTGTCTTTAAGTCTCTTCTGTTCCCCCTTCTCTACCAGAGAAAAGCAACTGACCCCAGCCGCTTCACCAACCGTGGGGGGAACCTGCTAAAGGAGGAGAAGCAGCGAGCAAAGCTGCAGAAGACACTGTCCAGGGTAGGTCTAGCCCTGGGGAAGGAGCTGTGGTCCCACTGATCAGGGAGAAGGGATCCCTGAGCATGGGGACACCCACGTTTGGTCAGTCCCTACACTGACCTCATGACCTGATCAGCTGCAGGAGGAGCTGGAGAGAAAGGTCCAAGCCTGGGAGCAGGAGTTCAAGGAGCCTTTCCTGGTTAAGGGGCAGCAGTTCATGGAATACGTGTCAGAGCAGTGGCAGCTGTACCGCCTAGAGAAGGAGAAGGAGAAGCAGGAGCGGGTGAGTGTGGAGCTGAGCGTGCTGGCTCCTTCCTGGGAACGCCAGCCTGGGAGTGTCTGTGGTGGGCCCCAGTGCCCCCCAGCTGCTGCCCTGGGCTCTGCCTGCTCAATCCCAGCCTGGAAGCAGCAGGTAGTGGGACAAGTGCCCATTACAGTTGTGTCTGTGTGTGCTGAGCCCCTTTCTTGGCCCCAGCTGTGCCAGAGGTGCCACTTGGCTCTGGATACCTGTAAATCTTTGGTGAAATTCCTGCTGCATGGCCTTGCCAAGCTGTTGGCAGGGCAGTGCCCACTGGCAGTGGCACAGAGGTGCACCAACTCCACGGTGTTCAGGTGTGTAAGTGCACGTGTCTCCCGCAGCACCTGAAGAAGAGCCGGCAGATAGAAACAGAGATGCTGTATGGCAGCACCCCACGGACCCCCATCAAGCGGCGTGTCCTCAGCCCCCACACACCTGCCAAAGTAAGGAAGGTAAAATGTCCCTGTGGAGCAGTGCAGCTGAGCCAGGGCCCTGCCCAGAGCTGAGCTCTCCCTGAGCTGGAGCCTGGCCTTGGGCTGGCCTTGGCCCCACGGGAGGGGTCGGGGTGCTCTGGCTCTGCAGGGAGGTGTCCCTCGTGTAATGCGTGCTCTGCTGTCTCCTCAGTTCCATGGCACCTCCATCACCAGCACTACTCCCAACAGCACAGTTCGCTCAGCCTTTGGAGGAACCATCTCCCACTCTCCCACGTCTCGGCTGCCGCCCTCTGGGAAGAAGGTGAGGGGCCTTGGGGGACTCCCTGCCCAGGGCTGGGATGGGCAAACCAGGGCGGCACAGCTCAGCCTGCTGTCACCCTGTGCTTCTCTGCTTCCCCTACCAAGTTCCTGGGGGCTGAAGCTCCTGTTTGTCTGCAGCCTGCTCCGTGAGGCTGCTGCCATCCTGGTGAGGAGTTTCTGGGACCTGAGGGAGGAGGAGGGTGGCAGGAAATCTTTCTCCAGCCCAGATTTCTGGTGTACCCCTGTTCCTTGCTGCTGAGCCTGCAGCTAGGGGGACCTTCAAAATATGGTTGTGCTGCTGGACAGGGCCTGAGCACCCTAGTCTAGTGGGTGGCACCCCTGCCACTGGGGTGGAACAAGATGGGCTTTTTAAGGTCCTTTCCCGCCCAAACCATTTCCAGGATTCTGTGACTCTATGCTATATGTTTCTGAGACTAGAATCCAGCCCTAGACTCCGGGGGGCACCCAGAGCCTGACACCGCTCTGGCCTCACAGAGGGACAGGCACTGAAGCTGCCACAGCTCTCCTGCCTCTGCTCGCTTCCTGCATCCCGTAACTGTTGCCTCCTCCTGCAGTTTGGCCGTGCCCGGACCCCCAGCCGCACGGCGGCGAAGCCCCCCCGACCCAGGCTGAGGCAGTGGAACAAGGAGAACATGTCCCAGCTGGATGGAACCACCCTGAGCGGTGGGTGCACCCCCACAGCCCCTGCCCAGCGTAACCACAGCGTTAGTTCTGTTGCCAGCACCTATTCTGAGTTTGTGGTAATTCACCTCTTCTAACCCCACCCCCTCCCCAGGCGGCACAGGACAGACGCTCCCCCTTCCCCGAGCACCCCAGGGCTGTGTACCCCCATGTCCCCACGCAGGGTGATTGCTCCCGCCCGTGCCTGTGGCTCCACATGGAGAACTTCAAACTGCAGTGTAGTGGTGGAGGCCTCACGCTGCTCCTGCCTCACACGGGCCCTGAGCAGCCAGTGGGGACAGACACCAGCACGGGGCCAGGCTGGGCTCAACGACACCCCTGTGTGGGGACAGAGCCCAAGGCCCAGCTCTGCTTGTTGAGCCCGTAAGGGGGACCCTGCTTCAGTCCCACCTTCTCCACTAGTCTCTGGGGGTGGTGGGGTGAGCAGAGCCTGCGGGGGGCTGCCAGTGGATGGGGCTTTGCTCTCTAGGGCTGGGGGGCCCTGGGCAGCCTCTGTCCTTTTGTCAGGATGGGCTGAGCCTGAGCTTTACCTTTGTGCGACAGTGGACTGCCCCAGACTCTTCCCTGTGGCAACTGACCTGGTGTTGGGGTACCCTGTGTGCCCTGGGACTGAGCTGAAGGGTTCCCTGCTCCAGGCTGTGCTCCCAGGCTGGCACCCAGCCTTGGGTAGGGCTGGGGCTGATTTGTGATGGAAGCAGATTCCTGCCAGGAATTCCCTTCCTCCAGCAGCTGAACACAACTGCTCCTGTCCCCTTCTCCTACTGATGCTGCAGATTTTAGGAGGTCTCTAAACATAGACAAAGAGGTTTAGAAAGGAGACATTGTTTATTCTGAGCAGGATGCAAGGTGGGGATTCCCACAAATCAAGCACCCAACTATCAAAACTTTTTACTATTTATACATTTTAGCAAAAAAAGGCGTTAATGTTCATTGGCTACAGGTTACATAGTTCTATTATTAGTATTCTATCTCCCCTTAGCAGGTTGGGCTGCCCTCCCTGCCCATCCCAACCTCTCCCTGTGTCCCTACTGACCTTCGAAGCAGTGGCCCTGACCTTGCTGCCCCTCCCTCTCTCCCTTCATCCCCCTCTCCCCCCTCTTGTTCCCACAGCGCGAACTTTCAAAGGCTTCCAGCTCTGAAAGCACCTCCCGCATCCTCAACTCCACCACCACCAACGCCTCGTGCTGAGGCCCCTGCACCCGGCAGGATTCGCTGCTCCAGCTCCAGTCACCCGCTCCAGGATAACCCACCTCCAGCTCCCCCCTTGAGAAATTTGCTTTTATTTAAAAAATTTTTCCAGATGTTGTGAATAAAGTCCCTGTACAGTCCACAACTCTGAGTCTGTTGGGGTGATGCCTGTGGTGAGCAGGAGGAAGAGAAGAAATGGGGGGAAGGAGGGGGATGGGGAGGGGCAAACTCAGCACCCCAAAATCTCAGGTGTGGCTCTGGGAGTCTGAGCCAAGCAGGAGCCACCCCCAGGGCCTGCAGCCTCCATCCTGACTGGTCTTGGGGCTGGTCGTGTAGAGGAAAGCTCGCCCTCATCCTCCTCCTGGCAGCAGCCATGGTTGGGGGGGCTCCAGGGCCTCACGACTCCAACACACGGACGTAGGTGGTCCAGGGCCCGCACACCACCTCCTCTGCCCGCAGCCCCTCGGCCACCAGGTGCTCGACCCGACGTGCCTGGTCAGAGCTGGCGATGTCCCCGTGTCCCAGCTGTCCATATTTACCTGCAGACACAGTCATGGCACAATGTGGCCCTGGGGCCTCACAGGGTGATGGCTCCTGGACGTTTTTGGGGGAGAGGGAACGCGAGAGACCCCTGGCACAAACGTGCCCCTCACACTACGGGTGAAGGAGCAGGAACCAGAAGCTGCTCCTGTGGGGGTTGTAAGGTCCCAAAGCTGAGGTGTCACTTACCCCAGCCCCAGGTGTAGAGCTCTCCACCTCCTGCAAGAAGGACAGCACCATCAGCCAGTGCCTGGTGAGCCCCTGCCCCCCTCAGCCCCCCCTCACCCCCAGGGGTGCTGCCCACCAGGTCCCAGTGAGCCCCAGTCCCCACAGCTCACCCCCCCACCCTGAGGGGTGCTGCCCCCAGCCCCACCAGGCACTCACGTGTGACAACAGCTGTGTGTCGGGACCCACAGCTGACCCCACTGACCTCCAGGTCCTGTGGCAGATCCAGCAGTGCTGGGAATGCCTGGATGGAGATGAATGGGGTGTCTTTGGCAGCCGACTGCTCCTGGCGGGGCACCAGCTTGGCATTTCCTGTTGAAGAGCTGACTCTCAGGTCCCAGGAGCGACTGGGTACCACCAGCATTTCCTGCAGGCTTGAATTGCACCGGCCCTGCATTCAGCCGTGCAGAGACCCTGCACCCCCTGCCCGCAGCCCAGCCAGCAGCACCCACCTGTGCACTCATCATCCTGAGCCCGCTCCTCCACCAGTGCTTTGGAGGGCAGAGCCAGCTGCCCTGACTCGTTCCAGCCCCACATGTACAGGTCTCCTGCCTCTGCAGGGTGGAGGGGAAATGCATCAGGCAGAGTTCAGCCCTTAGCAGCAGTGCTGGGTGCTCTGGGGGCACCAACACCCCATTCCCCACCCCTGGGCCAGGTCCCACCAGGGCTGTATGCTGCCACCAGCGCCCTGACCTCCCACGCCAGGCCCAGCCCCTCACCACTAACGCTGGCCGAATGCCACCCGCCAGCTGCCACTGCCCACATGGGCACCCCGGCCAGCGCCTCCACCAGCCGTGGCTGCGGCTCCAACTCCAGCGTCCCGTGGCCAAGCTGCCCATGCCTGCAGGGACACACAGAGGGACAGACAGATACCTCCATATGCCACTGCCTCCAGCCCTCGTGCCTCCTGCCCACACTCCCCACCAAGCCCTTCCTGCTGCCACTGACACAGACCCAGCCTCCCATGACCACCCAACGCCAGGGGGGTGCAGCAGAGGCACAGGGCTCAGGTTGGGGCAGGGAAGGAGGGTGCCCCCATGCCCTGCAGCTTGGCGAGCTGCAGCAGGCATGGCACAACGTCTGAGACAAGAGTCTGTGTCATCGCACAGTCGGTGTGCGCTGTGCAGCGATGACACAACTTCAGATTGATCAATATTTTTATGAGTCAGTGCAGTGAGCAGGGGATCGATTGCAGAGCTCACTGGGCCATGCTAAGCCAGCAATCAGCAGTGCCAATCGGTTTGGCCCCGAGCCTCAAAGCACAGGAGGGATCCCACCAGAGACAAGTCCAGGCTCATCCCGGGGAGGCACCAGCTGCCAGCACAAATGTTTCCCATGGCACAAATGAGGGCAGGATCCAGAGACACACCCTAAGGTGTGTGAATCCTCCCTACGTGGGCAAACTGTGTCTCCCTGTGTGCTGCCAACCGTGGGATGGGGGGCACAGGCAGCGCCAGCCATGGGATGACACAGCTCCCAGCACCATCCAGGCTGGCAGAGCTTGAGATGCTGAAGGAATAGGGAAAAGCTGAGCATCGGTGGTAGGGCGATGCCAGCACCAGATCCCAGTTACAGCCAGGGGTCACTGGGGAGCAGTGGGACAGACCACTAGGGGCTTTAGTTGTTGTCAGAGCTGGGGCAGAAGCAGGAGAAGATCGTGGGGGTTGTAGGAGGGAGAGGAGCAGCTTAGCCTGTGTGGTCTGGGGAGCACCAATATGACAGCCCAGACAGCCAACAGCTGTGCTAATGCACAGCACTGGGAAGCATTTTCACCTTCCACAAGAGAAATCAGCAGAGGACCAAGGCAAAGAGACACTGAGAGCTCAGGGACAGGAAAGGGTGTGGTGCAACAGAAAGGGGCTCCAGCCCGAGAGGGTGATGGCAACCACAGCCAGCAGTAAGAGAGGGGCTACAAAGGGGTGAGCTGGGCCAGCATCTATCTGTTACACAGCAGAGCTGTCACACTGCAGGACACAGCTGGCAAGGGATGGGTGAGAGCATTCTCAGCCATGTTGAATAACCAAATTCCAAAAAGGTTAATCCTAAAGTACACATTCCCACATATAGAAACCTTTCCTCTGAAGGCAAGAAGGATAAAATAACATAGTGTCTGCAAAGCAAGAACTGCTGATGTAAACTGAGTTTTGTGTTTGCCATGAGCTGTGTTTGCTACCAGCCGGCCTAGAGCCAGCAATTGAGGAGAAGGGACTGGGGAGTGAAAAGCTCCTGAGCAATGAGGAATGGGGAGGGCACTGGGCCAAGGTACACAGCTTGTGACACTGACTGATGGTCAGTAATGCATTTGTCTTCCATAAGTGGCAAAAAAAGAGGAACATAGCCTCCCTTCCACCCTACAGATGGGAACAGCCAGTTCCTGTGGCCTCATCATGCACCAGCAGAACTCATGGATCCAGGGCACGAGGACCAGGGGCCAGGCCCTCTGGTGCCTCCTCGGAAAACCTGACTGGGGCAGCACATGCACAAGCAACCCCCAAATGAACAAACACCTCCTTGGGAATAAACTGAGTGAAGTGGCTGGCTGCTAAATGTACCCAAGTTCAGCGGCTGGCAGGTGACATGGGGCTGGAGGCTTTTCCCAAGGGGTTCACTGCTCTCCCACAGGCTACAGCAGAGGGATCTGGCACTGAACTGTCAGACTGACGGAACAAACCTCCAGCTCGGAAACATAGAGCTGGTGTTGGTGTGGCAAGTTAACAGAGGAGCAGGAACAGAGCAGGGACCTCAGTGGTCACACAGAGACACCCAAGTGTCCTCGGAGGGATGTGCTGGTACCCAGCAGGACCTGGCTTGGGTGAGGAACAGATCCCATCAGCATGGGGGTGAGCATGGGGCACCTGGGGCTGGTGCCCCAATACTCTTGTCCCAACCGCACTCCCATATTCTTCTGGAGCCCCCATACCCCCATGGAAAAATCAGGAGAGATATCCCAGCCCCAGGCAGTATGCAAGGGCGGAGGGAAGGACCATAACACAGCAGCACCTGTATGTGATCCAGATGGCTCAAAAGTTATTAACTGAAGCTCAGTAATTCTGTGCAACACAGGGAATAACAGAGGGATCAGGATGCAATGAACAGGGTGGTTATTAGTGAATTCACTGGTGATCATTTAATCACTTAATTAGATTATGTTACTGTGTTGACTCACCAATCAACACTACAGAGATGTGAACTGGTGTGTCTAAAGCCTGTAGGCTAAGGAGGGGCTCAGTCCCTGAGGTGACCCCCGTCCAGACATCCTCTCACCTGCACCCCACAAAGCCCCTCCTGTATCCTCCAAACTCATTCTGCGTCCCCGTCATTCTCTCTGCATCCCCTCAGCACAGTGTTTATCTTGTCGTTCCTGAAACCCCACCCGTGACCCACCAGCTTCCCTCCCGAGACCGCTGCTGCCCCTCTCACGCACCCCTGTGCCCCCACAGCCCCCGCTCACCTGCCGCCGCCCCAGGTGAAGACCTCGCCGGCGGCTCCCAGCGCCAGGGCGTGCTCCGTGCCCAGGGCGAGCCGCCGGGCGCGCAGCCCGGCCGGCAGCGCGGTGAAGAACGGCGGCCGCGGGGTGGCGAACCCGCCGGGCAGCAGCGGCAGCGGCTGGCGGGGCTCCGGCGGCAGCGCCCGGCTCCAGGCGGGCTCGTCCTGCAGCGCGCCCGTCACCGCCGCCTCCCGCCGCCAGGCGCGGGCCTCGGCCGGGCCCCGCAGCACCAGGTGCGTCTCGGACGGCAGCGCCTCGGCCCAGCCCGGCAGCCGCCGCCGCAGCCCCGCGCTCCGCACCTCCAGCCCCGCGCCTGCCGCGGTGGCACTTCAGGGACCGGCGCTGGGGACAGTGCGCGGGGCGGGACGGGGACAGCCCGGGGGACTGGGAGGCCGGGACGGGAACGTCACGGGGGAACCAGCGGGGAGCATCCCGGGGAGCGGGACGGGGACAACCCGGGCGGACCGGCAACGCGTGGGAACACGGACACACCCGGGGGGACCGGCACCGGGGGAAACGGGGACATCCCGGGTGAACGGGCGCGGTGGGAGGGCGGAGGGGTCTCATCCCGATCAGGGGTCGGGGCGGACAGGACGGACCGAGGGGACCGGCGCGGAAGGGGGACGGGGACGGTGGGGGGAACCGTGCACTGGCCGGCAAAGGGCCACACCGGAACGGCGGGAGGGACCGGGGCACCGGGCGGGCCGGGGGCGCTCACCGGTCTCCACGACCACGTAGCTCCACGCGGGCCACACGCGGAGGATCCCCTCGGGACCCGCCTCCAGCCGCCGCGGCGCCGGGCCCGGGCCCGGCTCCCCGGCCGCCTCCTCGGGGCTGAACCCGAACACGAGCCAGGCGCGGGCGGGCGCCGCCATGGCGGGAGGGAGGGAGGG